CATCTCTAAGCAACGATTCTGTTGGCTCCTAGGCTTTGAAGCCGATGAATCTAGGGTTAATCCCGACACCATTACCGTCGGCCAATTATTTTCGATGTTCTACAATATGGGGTACACGGAGATTTTACAACAGTTACAAATTCAAGAAATCGTGTCTCCCTCCCCATGGAATGGTTTCTTCACCATTCTCTTCAAAGGGCTCTCCGAGCGTAGTTCTGGTTCTGATGGGGCCAGCAAACTGTTTATGACCATTCTCTATGGTCTTTATCATGGCCTTAACCTGACTATGGCTCGGTTCTATGGCAGCAACTCATTCAGAGCCTTGCCTCCTCCTCTCGCCACACTGAGGTATCCTACGCCAGGTTTTGGACGCTCATCACCAAGTGGGCCATGGATAAACTCCATGTTCCTACTGTTGCAGGTTCCCTTCTCTCCAACATCAGCGTCTTCCACACCACCAAAATTATTGTCACCGATCCGACAAAATTTTCCTTCGTCGGATCCATTCCGGACTCTATGTCCGCCGGGGTGTCAAAGGAGAGCATCATCATGAAAGCCTACAAGGACTTTCGTCCTTCGGGCCCAAGGGAACTTTCTGCTGAAATGGTTCAGTCCATTAATGATGCAGATAAACCTGCTGCTCGCGGAAAGAAACCCGAGCAAGGGAAGATAAAGAAAGCAGCAAAGGGGGCAAAGGGTCCTTCTCCTAAGAAGCGAAAACCCTCAAAACCAGATCTTTCCCCACCAGCAAAGAAGAAGAGAGTCCAACCTAAGAGAAAACTCATTCTCTCCTCTTCTTCCAGCGACTCGGAAGAGAACCACTCTGACTCCGATGAGTCAGCTAGAGGCGAAACCCCACCTCACTCCCCTGAACATGAGGTACATCTTTCATCCAAACCTCCTTCCCCTTCTCCTATACCCACCTCTTCCATTCCCATCATAACCTCCTCCATTTCCATTCCCTCCATATCTGACCCTATTTCCATTCCCCCCATAACTACTCCTCTTCAAACCACATCAACCACCCTTCCCCCACCACTTTTTACAGAAGCCACCACCACTACCACCCGTGAGGTTCTAACCAACGTATCTGATACGGGGGTTTCTACTTCACAACCCGAACCTACATCTGCACCCGAACCCACTATAACTACCGAACCACCCACTGCACCCTTATCTCCCACTCCATCTGCTGAAACCGAAACCTTTTTGGGAGGGGAGGATACCGTTTTTGACTCCATCTACTACAGCCCTTATCAACTTCAGAGTGATGATGATGATGATGCTCCGGTCACCAAAAAGCACATCAAGGAGCTCCACGAGAAGATTGACAATCTTGTGGCTTCTTCCTCCTCCTCAACATCTCACTTTTCAGAGGCTGCTATTCAGAGTATGGTGGAGTCACTTACAAAAGCTCATGAAGCCTCTATCAGCACAGCTGCTGTTGCCATTGATAAATCCATGCAAGCCAGTGCGGTAGCAACCGAAAAAGTCAAAAAACTATTTCAGGACGCCCAGATCTGGCTGGAGTCCTTACAGGTGGCTTCAGAGTTAAACACTAAGAAGATCCGCACCATTGTGGAGAAGCTGGTCCACTCCTTCGAGACGGAAAAAGATCAATTTGCCAGCTTCCGCCAAAAACTCAAAGAAGACAACCAATCATTTGTGTCTTCGGTTGCGGATCGTCTTCTCTCATTCCAAGCCACTCTAGCCGCCGAATCTACCACAAAGGAAGAGCTTGCCCAAAAGTCTTCCGAGCTTACCTTGGCAACTCATCAGCTCTCCCAGGCCGAGAAGGAAATCGATTCTCTTCGGTCCGAGAAAGCTGTGGTCAGGAGTTGTGTTTCAGATGTCCACGGAGCTTTGTCCAATATCCTTGAAGCCCATGATCCGATTCTCAACTATTCGGTGAGGCGAAGTCTTGCAGAGAAGCTCGCTCCTGCTCTTGCCCTTCTTAGCCGTATTGAAGGCATTCCTGAGCAGGAGGACCATCCGAAACAAGGGGGAGAAAAGAAGAAGTCCACAGCTCAACAGAAACCCCCTCCAAGTTCTCTACCTCAATCAATTCCACTTTCATCACTTGTCCCTCCAAAAGCACCCAAACCAACATCTGGTCCTTCATCAGGTTTGAGTGCTCAAGCCAAAGCCAAACAAATTGCTGACGACAGTGATGAGAGTGATGATCAGGAGCCAATTGTCAGCTTGGTCAGGAAGCAGACCAGAGAGAGAGAGCTGGATGAAAATGCTCGAATAGTCAGGGAAGCCGAGGCCAAGGAGAGGAAGATGAAGGAGGCTCATGATCTCCTTGAAAGCAAGAAAACTCTGTTTCCTCCTTGGACCCTCGAGGTGCTCATCAAAGAAGCCATTGAGTCTCCTTGCACTCTTTGGCTAGAACCGGTCATCTCACTAGACCGTGTCAACTCAATCGATTCCCAGTTCGACATGCCCCTGACCCGAAAGGCCTTCATCTTCCATGCGTTCGCTCATATAGCTGAAGTTCCCCATCCTCACCCGAAGGTGGATAGGGAGCTTATAGACTATTACCTGAGGACTGCTCAACCTCAGTACCAAACTTGGAGCGCACAGAAGATAACCAACGTTCGGGTACTCAAGCCTGTTCGTGAAGGTAACTTTGTTAATATCAGATTCAAGGTCTTGAGGGGATCTGAAAAATCTGAGCACTCTATCTCTCTGGCTGATCTTCCCAACCTCAACCCTCACGATTGGATCGTTCTGCACAACATTCTTCTTGTCAATGAAGCTGAATATGGTCCGGTCATAGACCATTTCAAGAGAATGTTAGTTTGCTATATTTTGGAGGTGGCTAAGCTTGATCAAGAGATTGCTAATATCCTGAGGAAGAAGCCCATCATCACCCAGTGGGTTCTGCTAGCGACATAAACCGAATGAAGATGGGAAAGATTGACCCGAAACAGAACTCAGTCATGTTCACTAGAGCAGAAGGCCAGAAATGCCTGTTTGCTTTGGCTGACAAACATCTTTACACGACTACTTGTCTAGAGCATGTTCTGGGTATAATCAATCGTTGCAAGCAGAACACGGATAGTGACAAAAAGTACTTCAATGATATGATAAACTGGTACATTCACTTCCGTCAAACACTTCTTGCCATCATCCCCTGCCTGTTCAAGACAGTCAAGAAAGCCAGTGCTGCGGGGGCAAGCAAGCTGGAGTGAAGTCTCGCCTCAATTGACGCAAAGGGGGAGATTGTTGGGTTATTGGTGTTGCGTCTTGGGCTCGCTTCCTAGTCCATTCTTTGTGCGGTATGGGCCTGTCCATCCGTATCTTATTTTCTAGGGTTTGTGTATTTATAGATGCTTGCATGCATCTTTTACGTAACCGATTGATAAGGGTTTTACGGTGTAATTATAGAAGTTATCTTTTTGTAACCCCAGAATCCTATACAGTGGAAGTTCTTCATCGAGCTCTGCTGAGGATTGAAAGTTTAATCATTCGACATATTCAAATCCATTCTTGAGTATTGCTTTACATTCTTTATATACCTGTTTCAAAGATCTATTCGATCTTAAAGGTTTTTATCTCATCAGTTTGCATCAGAGGAGAGGGAGTTGGAATTTCATCTATTTCTTTGGTAGAAGTGATGGACGAAAATGAGGAGCCAAAGGGCTCTATTTATAGCTAATATAAGGAGCCTTGGAAACCCTAATTTGAATATTATATTAATATTTTAAATTAGGTATCTATCCAACTCCTAATTATCCTTAAGGAATATTCCAGAAATTCTAATTTATTCCCTCAAAACCATCCAGGGTTTGGGAAGGATCTGGAATACCTTCTTGTTCAACTATTGAACAATTACAATTTAAGTCATTGAACATTTAGTTAATCCAGTTTATACCAAAATTAGTTCCAATTAATTTATAATTAATTATTAATTAATTCATCCATTTTATAATTAATATATTAATCTTATAATATATTAACAAATTATTTATTGTTATTTATTAATTATATTATAAGTCAATAAATCAAGGTTCCTATATGGAAGTGGGAACAGATCACCATGGATTTTATCACCAAGTTTCCGAAGACTACCAAGGGTTTTGATGCTATATGAATCATCATGGATCGATTAACCAAGATTGCCCACAGAGCTTATGTTGGATTAGGTGTCTAAGTTCATAACTATTTCTGGAATATACTTGACCCGATTGGCATGGTCCATTTGGGTTGCATGGCATCGGAACAATTTGGATAGACTTTTGTGAGAAAAAATGATAATTATGATTTGTTAATATATTATAAGTTCTAATATATTAATATCAAATCATATTATTTAATTAGTATTGATCAAGAATTAATTTGGAATTAATCATGTGATCAAAAAGAGACTAATTAAATTTATAGGGATTGATTGTGTAAATCATTCATTCTTATATATGTAGGCTTATGATCCATAGTTCTTCATGTTGGGCTAAACCCATGGAGTAACCCATGGATACTCCATGGAGGTTTTAACCCATCGAGCATGAAGAATATGGAAAGACATGTGTTACATGGTGTAAACCTAATAGCCATCATATATAAGGACCCCATGGCTCAAGAAATTGGCACTAGTGTGTGTACACATGAGGGCTAGCCAATTTGAGCATAGGAACCTTTTCTCTCAAGTTATTTGTCACAACTAGCCTTTTTAACTAGGAAATTCCATCCTCAAGTAAGCAAGGACTATTGTGAACCTTGTGCTAACACACGTAAGGGTGTGTTTGGTATAGAGAAATGGAATTGTAGTAGAGAATTGAAATGCAGAGAAAGAGAATTAAGCTAGAGAAAGAGAATTGATTACATTGTTTGGTAGAATTGAGAATCCACTAGAGAAATATTGTTAAGAATCATTTCTCTTGTTTGGTTGTATTAAGAAATGAAATGGAAATGTTTTTTTACCTTGTTTATTTCTTTTTAAACAACATCTTTTTTTTAAGTTACAAATAGATCCAACCTAAAGAAATATTATCACACCACATAATAAATACAATATATCAACAAGATAATGAAATAATAATAGAGTTGTTCAATCATTAAACATAATATCAACACCACATAAAGAATAATGAAGTTTACATAAAAACATGAAATAAATTAATTGTTGGAACGCCTTGCACTCCAATCAGTAAACATAGCATTAGCAAGAAGATCTCGATGGTCAGTCCATCCTTGCGATGTCTCTACGGTAGAAATAACGTTGTCATGTTCGTCTCCAATTTGTGTGTGATTTGCATGGATTTTTAATCAAGGGGGTCTTCGGTAATGGTTGCACGTATGAAATTATGCATCAAACAACATGCAATGATTATGTGTGGCATATATTCTATTGGATGGTATGCATTATCACGTAACATAGCCCATCCAGATTTGATCAATCCAAAACATCGCTCTATTACGTTCCTTGCTGATGAGTGTCTCATGTTATATAACTCTTTAGCATTTGTAGGTGGTCGATACCAATCATTAAGATGGTAACGTTGTCCATGATAAGGTGTTAAAAAACCTTCACCATTTGTATAACCCGCATATCAAAGGTAGTATGTTCCTACAATAGATTCTACATATTTAGTTAGACTGTAATGATAATAATATTATGTAGCTTTATGTTTTATGTATATCATACCATGAGGTATTTTAAGACCATGTGGTCTACTAATAGCATCTCAGAGTACTTGACTATCTACTGCGGAACCCTCCCATCCCGCTAGTACATATATAAATTGAAGATCTCTCGAACACACTCCCAGTACATTAGTACAGATCTCACCCTTGCGTGTTCGATAAGGTTTTCTCTTTGCTGCAAGGACTTTAACTTTGATATATGTTCCATCTAATGCTCCTAAGAAACCCTGTACATAAATCAAATTATTTATTAATAGTGAAATTAAATAAATTTATATTATTTAATTACTAACCTTAAACCACCTCCATCTCTCGTCGGTTTCATCATCGGGTATTGGCACGGGTTTCTTGTAGAACTTTTTATGTAATCGACATACTGCATCTAAAACTAACTTGAAATATCGACTTACAGTTTCACCTGACCTTTTGAATCTTTCAACTATAATCCTATTTTTTTGTTATGTGCAAGTACCTGTAAGAACATAGCAACTTGCTCGTCAACTAACATGTTTTTGCTATTTTTCAACCCTCCTCTTTGTTCAAGCATGTCACATAGTCTTATAAATGCATTTCTACTCATTCTTATGTTAACCACACTTGTTTTATCACTTTTATAAACCATATTGTGAATAGTATCACGTCCATTATGGTAACTCATTAAGTATTTTGTCCGTAATATTGTATCTTTTTCTAAACGGTGCATAGAAAAATCATACATCATCCACCAACGAATCATAACATACATTGCATAAAATGCTCTTACGATAGATGTCATAACATTTTGTCTATTTCGTGCAATCCGTTGTTGCAAAGGTGTTCGTGTCATCTACATATATACAAACAAGGAAGACCTAGAACAAAAAAGCTAAAAAAATGCTTGAATATATTATAAAAATCCTAACAGCCACTGTTTGAAGTTGCAAAGGTGATCGTGTCATCTACATATATATAAACATTAGTTAGACAAAAATCTAAAAAATGTTGAAATATCATACAAAAATCCTAATAGTCCATGTTTAGAGCTTTATACCTATGCCAAAACTAAATCAAACAAGCTATTTTTTGAGCCTGAAACAAAGACAACACAGAGGACTACAATCTAGAAAAACAATCTCCTCAATCCGAGCTCGTATGAAGATTTTATGATGTTTCAAAGTTTGAAAAAAAGGTTATACAAATTGCTGAAATACTATACAAAAATCCTCACAGCCCCTGTTTAGGGCTATATAACTTAGGGAAATCATAATCAATTAAGTTGTTTTTTGTACCTAACATGTAGCCAAGATAGAAGAGTACATTCTAGAGAAAAAATCAGTCCGTTCCGAGATCGTATGAGGATTATATGGTTGTTCAAAGTAAGGAAAAATTTATAAAAAAAAGCTGAAATAGTAAAAAACAGCTATAACAGACCCTGTTTAGGGTTGTATTATTCAGCCAAATATTAATTAATTAAGCTATTTTTGGAGCCTAACATGTATCCAACATAGAGGAGTACAATCTGGGAAAACATCAACCTGTTCCAAGGTCGTATGAGGATTCTATGGCTAGTCAAAGTTGGGAAAATTTTCTAAAAAAACTGAAATAGTAAACAATAGCACTAACAGTCCATGTTAAGGGTTGTATAACCCAACCAAACTTTAATCAATTAAGTTGTTTTTTTAGCCTAATATGTAGCCAAGACAGAGGACTACAACCTGGTAAAACAATCAGGACATCCCGAGCTAGTATGAAGATTTCATGGCTATTCAAAGTTGGAGAAAAATACGAACAAAAAACTGAAATAGTAAACAATTGCTTTTATAGATAAGGTGAAGCAGAAAACCTGTTAAAAAAATTGCAATCGCTGAAAGAATGGTGTTGAATTTTTCTTTACAATCAAACAATTATCTACTAGAATTGAGAGAAATCAGAGAGGTATCAAGCACTAATCAAAGAATGATGATCAAGAGATATCAAACCCTAATCAAATTGTTAAATGTTTACCAGAAGCTACTTCACTGATCAAGAATCACCAGAACACAATCGCTTTAAAATCGTATGAATGAGGGGATATGTTGTGGCGAAGAAGTCGCCAAGGATCGAACTTGGAACGTAAGGGAGAAAGCCTTCTTTTCTTCTATTTCTCCTCCCTCTTTTTTATTTATCCGCTTTTTTTCATTTCTCTATTAGCAATTTCCCACTATTTCTCTACTAAAAATAGAGAATTAAAAACAGGGAAAGAGAATCAAATTATTTCTTTATTCCTTATTTTCAGGGTTAAACAAACAATGTAAATGGAATTAATTCCATTTCTCTGATTTTATTTCACCATACCAAACAGCCCATAAGTATAAATATGAGTTCCTAAGGAGCCATGTAGTGTTAGTATGCGAAATCTCTCCAAGTATAGAGAATCTCTCCCAAATCTCTCTAAGTATGTGAAATCTCTCCAAGTATAGTGAATCTCTCCCAAATCTCTCCAATTATGTGAAATCTCTCCCAAATCTCTCTAAGTATGCGAAATCTCTCCAATTATAGTGAATCTCTCCCAAATCTCTCTATGTATGCGAAATCTCTCCAACTATAGTTAATATCTCCCAAATCTCTCCAAGTATATTGAATCTCTCCCAAATCTCTCCAAGTATGTGAAATCTCTCCGAAATCTCTCCAAGTATGTGAAATCTCTTCCAAATCTCTCCACATATCTCAAATCTCCCTAAGTACCTTCCTCAGTCGAAAACAACTCAAAACCGGAAGAGGAAACCCCAAAAGGACCCTCTTGGTCTGGAAACATTTTGATCTGGAACCCTTTTGGTCCGGACTCCTCTTGGTCCGGAACCCTCTTAGTCCGGAACCTTTTTAGTCCGGAATGCCTCCTAAGGATCCAAGAGAAGCCACACCCTTCGGAACCCCCATGCTCCGGAACCACCTAGTTCGGACCCTTTGGTTCTGCTTCGGAAGACCGCCTTACTTCGCTTCGGATTTCCCTGGCCGGATCGGACTGCTGACTCACATGCGACTTCGGATCCGAGAAGGTCACTTCGAATCTCACCTGATGACTTCAGAATTTTTCCACTGACTCCGGAAATTCGATTCGGACTTCGGACCCTCGTAGGAACCAACCACCACTCCGGATTTTGGTCATTTTCGGACTTTTTCACCATTTTAAGGTGTTTTGAGGTCAGGAATCACACCAAACTCGTGTTTTTCTTGACCGAGACCCCTAAAACCCGCATTTTATGCCAAAATTAATTATTTTAAATATATTTATATAAAATAATACCCAAGGTTTATGAAGAGATTCTAAGAGGATAAGGAGTTTGACTTGATGTAAATTCCTCATTTCCCATGCCAATCCCAGTAACCTATGCATTAACCCTTAGTGATAGACATTACCCACCAGTACTCCAAGCAAATGTCAAATCACTCCTTATCTTCCTTTATTGAAAACGTGAAGTACTCTTTCACTTCTCATATCCATATTCAGTAAACTCCTAAGAACACTCATTTTCTCTCAAATACTCCTCCCAAGAGCAAAGTTAAGGATCTTGCTGGAAGCAAAATTCTCAAATTCTCCTTGGAGCTTTCTAAAGTAAGTTCTCCACTCATCTAAGATTTTATATAATCTTTAAGATAATCTATATAATTTTACTCATAATAATATGTGATAATCAACCTTAGGATAACATTCTTCCCATAGGAGTTCCTCATCTCAGCCAAAAGTTTAAGCTTGAGATCTTCACTCCATAACTCCAAACAACTCCTCAACCAACTCAAGGTGATCTTCATACCCCACCTTTTTCAATGTTTTAATGTTTTTGGGGGAGAGTACAAGTTAAATCTTGCCTAAATACTTGAATAATTGCATGTATACGTATGTTTGTATGTGTGTGTGAAATATTATTAAATTGTTACTTTAGTAATATTCTCATGAATGTAAGATTTCACAACTTCATTAAGAACAGATGATACTTTGTGTACTAAAGAGCCTCCCAACTATTGGATGTGTTCCAACTTAACCCCTTTATCTATGCTTTCATGTCTAGAGATAAAAGTTATAAAAATGGACCTTGATAAGTGGACACAATTTCTAGTAATTTTCGAAAATGGAAACTTTGTGACTATTTGCAAACTATCAGGGAGTATTTTATAAATATTCAATATAAAAGTTTGAATTCAAGAACTAGTATGTTACTAAGTATAAAGCACGAAATGTTTATATCAACAAACATAAAGATTTATTTTAATATTTGCTTAAACATGTTGTTGCGAAAAATACTTTGAAAGTGACTAAAGTATGGAAATAATAATATTTTGGGTCATTTTTGACTAAACATAAATACAAGGGTTATCTTGGAATATTATGTCATACTTATGGATTTTACCAAATTAAATTACTTGTGATTATTTATGAATATTTAATATAAATAATTTTATCAAGGAAAACATAGGAAAACATGGTTTTCATGACAAAAATATTTGCATGTCATAAACCGTTGTAGTAAAACCTCCAAGAACATAAGTAATGTTCTATATGACATAAAACAGAAAATGTGTGTCACAACCGGCAGTTATAAATTTAACCAAATTATAACTTGACACTTTTTCTCTTGACTAAAATGACTTATTTTTCAATAAACAAAAAGGAACGAACACGAGCACCTAGTTAACGAGCACAATCAACGATATGGAATGAGAACAATATTCCTATTCAATAAGTATGAATTTCATTATTTATCTAACAAATAATGAATCTCTAACAATTGCTCAAAAGGTTGTTAATATTCTACTCAGACAAATCTCAAAAGTACCTAAATATAAAAATATTAGTGTACGTCTAAAGTCCTGTAACGAGTTATAGTCAGAGTCTCCTGGAGGGAGGGCGAGAATTTGTGTATAGATCTATATGGGGTTGACACCCCGCACCTTCGATGTTCGCTACAGCTAGACAGTCCAGTCTAGGGTGACAAATGTCTTTTCCAAAACTAGGGAGCCTGAGAAACTCCAAAACGGGCACTCCGTCAGATTAGTATGGTTATAACGACTCACTAGAATATGCTATGTTAACTACAAATTTATGTAAGGAAAACCTCATAAATAAATTTTGGCACGTTGTGTTGATTGCCCTACACGTGATAGGTGATGGTCCGCATTTTTTGTGTTGACTGTCCTTTTTCATCGCGTTGAATGTCCACAACTGCCATGTTGATTCTTTCTCCTAACAAGTATAGAGTCGTAATACTGCTATTCTACAAATTAAAAAGCGTAGCACTCTATGGAAAACATTTGTAAAAGATTTCGAAAACGATAAACTAACTCACACACACACACACACACACACACACACACACACACATATATATATATATATATATATATATATATATATATATATAGTTGGAACTAGAATGTACAAATATTTTATAGCAGAAAATATAGGATTTTCTGGAGAAAATGATTTTCTACGATTTCGACAACGATAAACTAGAACGCACACTCAAATTTACTCGATAAGAAGAACAAGATTTTCAACCATATTCTCCATTTGAAAATGAGGGATTTTTCTGG